TGTGCTGGCGGCATCACAAAATACTTTAACATAATCAATTCCCTAACATTCCCCACTCTTTGGCTTTAGATGAGAAACAGCAGCCAGTGTAAACCACATGATAGGGGAAGGGGGCAAAGTGTCGACCTAGGGGCAGGCGTGGGGTCCTGGCTGGCTGTGTTGTCCTTTATGAACATGGAATTGTTGACAGCAGCAGCGTTATCATTGGAATTGTTGGTAGGGCTTCCTGAGAAAAGTCCAATCACACAAATCAGTTAATGAGGGAGGAGAGAGTAGAAGATAATTTGTATGAGGCTGTGGACTGCGTTGGAGGGTCACTAAGAACAAGTAAAAAGGTAAGGATTGTGGCTTCAGTTGGGGTGAAGTCTGATAAAGTTTTTTGGAGCCGTGCATTAGTGATCCAGTTGGCTATGCAGGTAATAGGACGAGGGTGGAGAGCAAACCAGAAAATATCAGTCCAAAGATCATTTAGAAAATGTTCAAACTGAGCCAAGATCTGACCTGTGGTTAGTCAGTTGGCTGTCATGTAACACGGTGGTCTCGTTTAGGTCTCTGGCCTGAAGTATCAGCTGGTGAGCCGTCTGTCGGGAGATTTGAGTGGAGAGGCGACTGACCTGGGATTGAATAAGACGGAGAACATGGGGGGCAACTGCATAGGTAGATATGGAAAGGGCGGCAGAAATCAGCTGTGGGCCAGTCTGAAGAGCGGCAGCAATTTGGTGATTTGGTCAAAGAACTGGCATAAGGTGGCCTGGAACGTGGTTTCAGGAGATCCTACCTGGGTCTGAAGGAGGGCTGAGTTAGGCCTGGAGAGAGTCAAGGTACACACCAGGGGCCTAACGGCTTGGGTAAGGTTTAGGAGAGAAAACAGGAGCAGGAGAGGAACGATTATTGTTTCCAGTAATTAAGAATGGCAAAGAATGAGATTATGAGGTAATAGGTCAATGAGAGTAAACACCTGGAAGTAAAATTATAATTGGGAGGAGATACTGTGGCCAATCCTATCCCAAGGACAAGTCCCAGGAGTACTAATATAAGAAGACTTAGGATATCAGTGGGTGCTGTAGTGTGAAATGTGTCACAATACCCCATGAGAGGATAAGAGGATAAACAGTTAGGTTGGCTTATCTGACTCAGGACTGGATGATGGTGAAGGATCCTGGACAGTACTTAAATTTAGAGCAGGGCTTTGAGTGCAGTGTCTCCTGGAGTCAAAGTCTATGAAGTTCTCTGGATAGACCCGTTTTACTTTAGAGTGGTGGTAGCTGAACTTTAGTTAACTTGACAGCTGTGGGAGTAACCATAAGTGTCTTATATATGGCCCTTTTCATATATAAAGTCTCTCAAGATACAGGGTGGCCTTCCAAACAAGACCTCATATGGGGAGAACCCAGTATGACTTGGGGTATCTTTTATTTTAAAGAAGGTCAAAGGGAGCCGATCAACTCATAACCTGGTGTTGACAATATTTACCTTAATGGTATAATTTATCATTTTTTAACCTTACAAGAACTCTGAGGTCAACAAGCAGTATAACAGTTTAGCTAGATCTTATACAACCTGTTATAAATGCTGGCCCATTGTCATTGTCTATGGACAGAGGCAGACCAAACCTTGGAATTTTTAATAAAATCTTGTACACTTCTGAAGCCCTCTGTTTTTATAGGGAAGGCCTCAGGCCCTCTAGAAAAAGTATAGGCCCATATTAACACATTTATAACCTTTACAGGGGTTGGGTGTCTTAATCAAGAGGAATATTTGGGAGGAGAATGGGCCTCAAAAGTCTGTCACTAGTGCCTATTTATTGATTGCCCCTTTTGGTTATTCTTCTCTGATGGGTGTTTAAGACCATATTAGAGTGAGACCTGGGTTAATCAATATGAACCTCTTGTTATCTGCCAAGGTCAGTTAAGTCTCTTTAGGCATTATTTTGGAACCATGCATAGAGCCTCTCAGCTCCAGTGTCAGCTGTTAGGATGGGTCCCGGTCTTGCTTGACCATGGATGGTGCTTTTAGTAAAAGTGTGGAAGATTTTTCTGGTGACCCTCCTTTAGCACACATTACATTTGTCCTCTGGTGTCCAGCAATCTCCCTGTTCAGGAGGTTGGGTGACTTATCAAAGATGTAGGATGTAGTAGAAAAGGTTCCTTCATACCTTGGATCTTTGATGACCTTGGAGGGCTGGAACCAAAATATTGGTGATCTCGTTAGCCCAGTTACCTCTTAGTGTTGGTCTCTGCACTTTGGTGTTTGAACACCCAGAAGAGAAGATCAGTGACATCAGTAGTATAGTGGGAGTTTAAGTATCATAACTATCTAGATAGCAAGTATCCTGGAATTTAAAATGTAGTTAGAGGGCTATTATTTTATCAATCATGGTTGTTTAAGTAGTTAATTTTTTATAGAATATTAACAGAAAAACTTGTAATCAGGAGTCACCATAATGATAATATTTTAGCATGATAATCATAATGACATCTTGGAAACAAACTTAGATGTGTATCATAGTATAGAATAGCCATTGCTAAATGTATTTATCTTTTAAAAAATATATATAAAGACAAAAACAAAAATCCAGGAAAGTTATTTAAGTTATTACCTTATGATACGGTACCATCTATGGGCCTACAAATGTACCTGTATCCATAAGTAGGTGGAGCAGAAGAAAAAGGAGAATACCTGGATCAAAAGTTATTGTCACAAACAATATGAATTCCTTTATACAGAAAATATATTTTGAAGATAACCATCATAAACGTATTATAATAACATATTTAACAAGGCAAATCTTTTTACAATGCTATAAAAATTATTTGGGCTTCCATTAGTGAATAAAGATCAGAATAAATTTTCTGAACAGCTGCTTCTTTATTCAGTAACACGAGTGTACCCAAACTTAAAAGTTTATATTTAATTATCTTTAAATTTTTATTTAACCTATAAAACCATGGTGTAGAAATCAACAATCTACTTGTATTTGATGTCATTCTTATAACATTTAGACAGACAAACATATAAGACAATTTAAACTAGAGTGTGCTCAGATGGTTTTGGCCAATTGAATTATAAAATCTTTTAGTTACGACTAGTTAAAACCTCTGTAGGTCAAAATTAACAGAGATCTCTTGTAGAATTAGGATTAAAATGAATGAAGGCTCTTTATGACTGTAAATGTAAACCTTTTATAACAAACTTGAAACCAATAAGCAAACACACATATTTTCTTATTAAATCATTTTTATACACCTTCTCTACATACTTAGGCCTTCTGGTCTTGTTACCTGTTTCCAACCAGATAAACATACAAAAACCTTTCATGTCAAAAGTATAACTCTTATTCATAGCTTTCCTAATATTTTTTGTCTTATTCATTATTAACCTCCTATAACAAACTTCAGCTTAAAGTGTCCTTTTTTTTGTTTTCAGATTGTTACATCTTAAAATTTGACTGGCTGCCAATAGAACAGTATTAACCGTGAGTTTTTAGAAAAGAGCAAGTTAACCCTATAATCGCAGTTTAAGAATTTTTAATGTACAAGAAGTGTTTTAAGCATATCAAAGGGGGAGGCAATTGGACCTCTTCTAAAGGGTAAGCACATTTTCTGAGAGGCAAGTTTACTGAGTGAAAAACAGCAGACATGGCAAGCAGTTAGGTGGGGACTGTAGGTTCAATAGCTTGGGATAACAGAAGACAAAAGGAAGACACTGGAACGCTGGAGGGGCTCGGCATAGAAAAATGAATGGATGCCCCAATCTGGGATAAAATGTCACGACCCAATAAGGGAACGGGGCAGGATGGGAGGACTAGGAATGAATGAAGAAATGGAAAGTCGCCAGTTGTGCATGATAGTCAGGGAGTCTGTCGAGGGTGTTTTTTTGACTTTCTACCCCAACAATAGAGGTTTGAGACAGGGAGGTAGGTCCCCAATATTCTCTCAATGCAGAAAAGCTGGCTCCAGTATCCAATAAGAAAATAATAGTCCTACCTGCCACGATTAAGGTTACGTTACCCTGGGCTCCTGGGCGGTGATCCACGTTGGGCCAGTTGTGCCAGGGCCCCTTCATAGCCCTTCTGTTGCTGCCAGACCTATTAGGTCATTGTTCTGGGGAGTGGTGGGGCCGGCGGCTCAATGGCAGGTGGACACCAGGGGGCAGTCGAAACCCCAGTGTCCCTTCCGTTGGCATTTAGGGCAAGGCTTTGTGGGCACTCTTGGGTTTGGGCAATCACTGGCCCAATGTCCCTCCTGGCCATACCAGAAGCAGAGTTTTCCTGGGCTAGAGGGCCCTCTGAAGGGTCCCTTTCCCTGAGACGTCTGTGGCATGCCAGGATTGAAGGCTTGCACCAACAATTGGTACTTTTTGGTGATTTTGAGATCGTCACGGCCATGATAAACTTTGAAGGCTGTGGCCAGCACTTCTGCAGGGGGAGTCAAAGGTCCCCTTGCAAGCTCTTTTAGTTTGAGTCTAATGTCAGGGTAGCTCTGAGAAAAGAAATGCATCAAAATTAATCTTTGGCTATCGACAGACTCATGGTCAAGTTTGGCGTGTTGGCAGAGGCCATCAGTTAACCTTTGTAAAAAGGCAGATGGATTTTCATTTTTATCTTGTATAATTTCATTAAGCTTCTCATAATTTACAGACTTCATGGTGGCCCTGCGGAGCCCATGAAGGAGACAATTGATGTACCTGTCTCGCGCTTCAATTCCCACCTTGGTGTTGTAATCCCATCCTGGGTCCTGTTCCGGGACTGTAGCAGCACCTACCGGATGGTGGTTGTTTGTCAAATGCTCCTGATCTGCATGAGCATGAGCCTGATCCAGCACTCTTTTGCCTTCTTCGGGAGTTGAAGCATTGGTGAGAACAAAAAAAGATCATGATAGGTTAATTGCTAAGACTGTGTGAAGAGCTGAAATTGTTTCACAAAGGTTGTTGGATCGGCAGTGAAAGAACCAAGTCTGGCTTGGATGAGAGCCAGTTTAGTTATGGGGAAGGGGATATGAATGCGGACGAATCCTTCAACCCCTGCTACTTCGCGCAAGGGCGCCATCGTGTGGCTCATATGCAACTTGGAACGAGTGAGAGGTGGGGTTGGAGCATGGGGCGGAGCGGTAGGAGGTGCTGAGGGAATGGGAGGAGTAGGAGATCTAGGAGGAGAGGAGGAGTAGTGGGTTGGTTTCTCGGTGCCCGGTAAGGGGGAGGGTCATCGGCTGGGTCCAGCTGGTCTGAGGAATGAAGAGGGAGGGGGTTGGCGGCGGAGGGACCTTGGGCTAGCAGAAGTGTGGGAGGAGGTGATAGAAGAGACAGTCTCTGGGCAGTGGAACAAAGACAGGGCTGGTTGCTAAGATAAGAAAAACCCTGGACATATGGAATCTCCGACCACTTTCCTTGAGGCTCACAAAAGTAATATAGGTCCCTAATTAGACCTGGTTCAAGGGAGCCATTAGGCACCCAGACATTTTGATTGTCTAATTGATATTGGGGCCAAATTTGAGTGGATAAGCGAATTAGCCGCTTGGGTTTTTGGTCAAGGCCCTCCAAATTCCTGAGTAAGCATCCCAAAGGAGTTCACGGGTAGGGAAGAGCCAGAGCCCATGACTACCAAGAGGACGGTGGAGGAGGTTGTCAGAAGACCAGACGTCTTCGAGAGTTCTGATGAGACCCCCTTTTCTAGATCCAGTCTAGAAGGTGGAACTCAAGCTTCCTGCAAAGACGTCTCTTGTGCAGGAAGGGAGTTTAAAGTCGAAAGCCTCTCTACTCCCTCAAGGCATCCCGAGCAGAGGCAGAGGAGACCTGGTTGAGTCCCGGACTCAAGCTAGCAAACCCAGTGGTTTGCGGTGGAGGACAGAGGGCCCGGCGCCAGGCCAGTCACATCTGGTGGTGGATGTCCTCTTGGAGGTCTGGGACCCTGGGACCTCCCGCTACCCAAAAGACGTCTCAGAATGGGGGAACTTACCCAAATATCTGGTGTAGGCCTGAAACTACGTGGATCGGTCTTGGCTGTGAGAATGGCACCAAGGAAGGTGGTCGCGGATGTCGAGTGGGGGCTGAGTTGGAGCGTCTTGGTATCTGGGTTTGGGGTCCCCAGGTAGTCTAACCTGTGGGCCTGGCAATCCCAGATCCCGCTTCTGACACCAATGAAAGGGAATAGTGACACTCAACAACTAGGCCACACACACACTGAGAGTTCTGACTGCAGATTTTATTCAAGGGGTGGGAGTAGAGGGAGAGAGCAGAAAGATGAGAGAGAGAGAGAGAGAGAGAGAGAGAGGGAGAGGGGGAGAAGGAAGAAGCAGAAGGAGAGAAGAACAAAGAAAGGAAGGTCCTTTTATCAGTTTTGGGCTGGGCTATTGCTGGAGCGGGCTACCTTTAACCTATCACAGGCCAGGTTGCCCTTTATGGGTTTGGTCCTGGAGAAACAGGTTTAACCTCTCCAGACCGCTGTGGCCTTGGAGGGGAAGGGAAACTAGAGCTAAGAGCAGGAGGTCTTTAAGAGCTAAGAAGTACCAGAAGAATGCAGCCTGTGCTGGCGGCATCACAAAATACTTTAACATAATCAATTCCCTAACACCAAATGCTTTCATAAACAAGGACCCAGGACAGGGTAATGTCTTGCAGCAAAGTCAAGACATCAGGCAACACTGATCATCTTGATTAGTTTATCATTATTTACATACAAGATACATTTAAAGCTAATTCCAGACACATATTGCAATTATAATCTCGAGAAATCATTCGTTATTAGCACACTGAGTTCCTGCAAGATGCCAGAACAAGTGAGAAATCATCTCAAAGCAGAGTAGTGATAGCTCATCATTTACAAGTGAGAGGAAACAGCAAGAAGGAAGAAATAAAACTCCTCCCTCCTAAAGTCATCAGTCCCAGGATGCATTCAGGGCCTTATCTGACAAAATCCAAAGTCCTCAATTTCCTGATGAGGAATCTATTTTGGAGTTTTCAGGCTTTTCTTTGCCATGGCCCACGCACTCCATCTAGCCCTTCCGTAGGACTCTCTTTGCCCTTCAGCGCTTGCAGAGATTGGCATGGGTCCCTGGAACTGTTCCTCTTGAGAAACTCCTCAGCAAACCAGCAACTGCAGTAGTGGTCCTGCCCGCGCTTCAGGTCAGTGAGAGCCTCGCCGCCCTACTGCTGCTCGTGGCAAAGGCTGCGGCAGCCACAGACTGTTTTTCTTCTTTGTTTGTTTTTATTTTTGAGACAGGGTCTTGCTGTGTAGCCCAGACTGGACTTGAACTCCCCGTGATCTTCCTACCTCAGCTTCCTGAGGAGTACTGGTACTACCGGTATGCACCACCACACCAACTTGAAAGCATTTTGAAGTCATGGACTAACCTAAAAGCATAGAAGTACTACAAGAGTAAATATTTACTCTTTTGTCTCTCGTCAGGTTGCAGTTCAGGCTCAGAGTGATTAATCTGTCATCTGAGTTAATTTAATTTGTACCCAAAATTCTTTTTTGTTTTCGTTTTGATTTTTGGTACAGTGATCGAACTCAGGCCCTTGTGCTTGCAGGGCACACGGCAAAATCACTGAACTAAATCCCCGGCCCCTGAGTTAACTTAATTTCTAGGAGAAGCTTTACTAGAATAAATCCAAGTTCCCTTGGGCTTGATCCCCAGAATTGAAAAACAAGAACAAAAAAAAAAAGAGTATTTCTAAGTTTGTGATGCCATAGTCTGCTTGGAAACATTTTCATTTTCCTTCCTTGTAAGAATTTTTAAAATTGTGATTAAAAAGTACAATACAAAACTCACCATCTTACCATTTCAAGGTATTCAGTTCAGTAGTATTAAATACACTCATTGTTATGGTTTATATCTCGATTCCCCCTATCCCCAAAGCTTCTTGCACGCTAGGCAGAGCTGTGGGAGGTGATTGGATCCTGGGATGACATTCATCCACAGATTAGTCCCCTAAAGAGTTTATAACTGAATGTGATGTCAGTCGGTGAAGCCGCATTGGAGGAGGTGGAGCACTGGGGGCGTGGCCTGGAGGGTGGGGGTCCCCCCCTGCCTGCCAGGGCCTAAGCAACTCTTCGCTGTGCTGCCCCTCGGACATGCTGCCCTGCCTTGGAGTTAGCTGACTATGGACCAAAGACTCTACAAACTGAGCTAAAACAGATTTCTCTTTAGATTTATGGGCGTCAGTTATCATATCTCAGTGATGAGAAAGTAACTAAGACTTTCACCCTGATGTGCAATCTCCCAAATGCTTCACTTGCAGTACTCAAATTCTATGTACATTAAACAATAAAAATAACACTGTAAACTCCTCATCTTCTCTGTATTGAATGGTCTTGACACCCTTATCAAAAATCATTTTGACTAAGACTGGGGATTTGGCTTAGTGGTTTCGCTGCCTCCCTTGCGTTCACAAGGGCCGGAGTTAGACCACACACAAAAAATTTATTTTGACTGTACGTGCACTGATTTATATCTGGGTAGTCTTTTACTCCATTGGAACACGTATCTGTCTTTACAATAGCAGTACCACACTCTTCTGATGACTATAGTTAGTAAGGTTCTTATTTTGGTTTCAAAGTACTGGGGATTGATCACAGGGCCTTCACACTGAGTTACATCTCCAGCCCTTTTTATTTCTTTATTTTGAGACAGGCTCTTGCTAAATTGCCCCAGTGGAACTTGAACACATGATCCACCTGCCTCAGCCTCCCTCCCTGGTTTGGGTTACAGGAGGCTGCACACCACACTCAGCTTGGCGCCATCCTTCTCAGGGTGGTTTGGTTACTCATGGTCTTTTGCAATCCCTTTGATTCCTTGTGAACCAGGGCCAAATGTGAACGGGACAAATGCTATGACCCAGGGGTTCTTCAGAAAAAAACTATTGAGATATTAATAGGAACCACACTAAATCTGTGGATTACTTTGCATGATATTGACTTATCAATACAAAATCATCCAATCCATGAATGTAGGAATCTGTTCTATTTATTTGTTTTGTTTTTTGGGGGTTTTTTTGGGGGGTTGAGACAGGGTCTCACTATGTAGTCGAGACTGACCTGGAACTCACTATGTAGTCCAGGCTGGTCTTGAACTCACAGCGATCCTCCTGCCTCAGCCTCCCAAGTGCTGGGATTACAGGTGTACGCCACCACGCCTGGCTCTGTTCTATTATTTTGTATCCTTTTTTTGGTACTGGGTATCAAACTCAGGACCTTGGGCTTGCAAGGCAGGTGCGGTGGCACTGAGCTAAATCACCGGCCTGTATATTTAATTTTTTTTCAGCAATGATTGATAGTTTTTATTGTATGTCTTTCACTACCTTGGTTAAATTTATTCCTAAACATTTTTTATGCTATTGAAAGTAGAACTGTTTTGTAATTTCTTTTTAGATTGTTCATTGCTGGTATATAACAATGAAACTATTTGTTCACTTTGTATCCTGCTACTTTGTTGAATTAATCTCATGGATATTACAGGTGTACGCCACCACGCCTGGCTCTGTTCTATTATTTTGTATCCTTTTTTTGGTACTGGGTATCAAACTCAGGACCTTGGGCTTGCAAGGCAGGTGCGGTGGCACTGAGCTAAATCACCGGCCTGTATATTTAATTTTTTTTCAGCAATGATTGATAGTTTTTATTGTATGTCTTTCACTACCTTGGTTAAATTTATTCCTAAACATTTTTTATGCTATTGAAAGTAGAACTGTTTTGTAATTTCTTTTTAGATTGTTCATTGCTGGTATATAACAATGAAACTATTTGTTCACTTTGTATCCTGCTACTTTGTTGAATTAATCTCATGGATCTACAGGTTGCTGTGAAATCTTCTTTTTTTGTTTTGTTTTTTTTTGGTACAGGGGATCAAACTTGGATCCTTGTGCTTATGAGGCAGGCAGCAGAACCACTGAGCTAAATCCCTGGCTCTTTTGTGAAATTTTTAGTATTCTACATGTAAGATTATATCATCTGCCTACAGACATAATTTGAATTCTTCCTTTCCAATTTGGTTGCCTTTCTTTTTCTTGCACAACTGCTGTAATTAGAACATCCAGCACTATTTTGAATAGAAAAGGTAAAAGCTAGAATACCAGTATAGTTCTTGATTTTAGAGGAAAAATTGTCTTTCACCAGTGCATAGGGTGCGCTGTTAGCTTTTTAAAAAATATTGCGGCTGGGGATTTAGCTCAGTGGTGCTGCCGCTTGTCTTGCAAGCGCAAGGGCCTGAGTTTGATCCCTGGTACCAAAAGCAAAAGACAAACAAACAAAAAAACTCATATTGAAACAGGGTCTATTTATGTAGCCCCGGCTAGCCTCGATCTCATTCAAGATTCTCCTGCTTCAGCCTCCCACATGTGGAGATTACATGCTTATACCACCAAGCCTAACTCAGCTGTGAATTTTTCATAGAAGACTTTTATTACATTGAGATGGTTTTCTAGTTTTTTATTTCTTTATCATGAAAGTGTGTAGAATTTTGTCAGATGCTTTTCTGCATAAATTGAGACTTTTCCTCCTTCAATCTGTTAATATGGCATTTTACTTAACTGGTTTTTATATGTAGATTCATCCTTACATTTTTGGGAGGAATTTTTGCATGGCCATGGTGTATAATCATTGCAACATGTTGCTGAATTTGGTTTGCTGATATGTTGTTGAGGAGTTTTTTTTTTTTGGACTGAGGATCAAACTCAGGACCTTGCACTTGCAAGGCAGGTGGTGGAACCACTGAGCTAAATTCCCTGCCCTGCAGCTTTTTAAAAATTATGTCTGCGGCTTTGTTATCAGGGTAATACTGGATTTGTAGGATGAATTAACAAGTGTTCCTCCTCTTCAGTGTTTCTGTTCTGTTCTGTTGTGTTTTTAGTGCTGGGATCAAACCCAGGGGCACTCTCCCAGAGCTATATCCACTGCCCTTTTGTTGAGCTGTGGCCTCAGATTTGCTGCATTACCTTGACTGGCCTGGAATTTGTGGTCCTTCGGCCTCAATCTCCCTAGTAGCTGGGATTACAGGCCACCATGTGCCACCACGCCCAGCTTTGTTTTTTGTGGTGACGGGGATCAAACCCAATAAGACCTCATCATGTATGCTAGGCAAGCACTCTACCACTCAGCCACATTCCCAACCCCTCATTTAGATTTTTTGGAAAAGCTTGAGAAAAGTTAGTATTATTTCTTTATGTTTGGTAGAATTCACCAGCAATTCTTTGTTGGAAGATTTTTTCAGTACTGGGAATGTAACTTGGGGACTAAGCTGCATTCCCAGCCATTTTTTTTTTTTTTTTTTGAGAGAGGGTCTCGCTAAATTGCATGAGGTAGCCTTGAGCTTTTTATATTCCTGCCTCAGTCTCCCAAGAAGCTGAGATTACAGGTGTGTGCCACTGTGCTTTATGTAGTTATAGGTCTATTTATTTCATTTTTTGTAGTGCTAGGGAATGGAACCTGGGACCTCATGCATGCCAAACAAGAACTCTACACTGAGCTACATCCCCAGCCCTAAAGTTTACTTATTAATTAACTTATCATTTATCTAAGGTCTTAAATTAGTTGAGGATCTAAATACTACAGATTTTAATTTTGTTTTTTGAGAGAGGATCTTACTTTGTGGTACAGGGTAGCCTTGAACTCACTGTGTAGCCCAGGCTGGCCTCAAATTCATGGTGATCCTCTTGCTTCAACCTCCCAGTGCTGGGATTATAGGGTGCACCACCATGCCCATCCGTTTTAGTCCACTTTGTATTTCTATAAAAGAATAACTCAGATTGGACAATTTACAGTGAAAAGAAATTTCTTTATCTTGATTCTGCTGGGAAGTGCAAGATCGAGTTGCTAACATTGGCTATCATTAAGAATACAAAAATGAGCCAGGCGTGGTGGCGCACGCCTGTAATCCCAGCACTCGGGAGGCTGAGGCAGGAGGATTGCTGTGAGTTCGAGACCATCCTAGGCTACATAGTGAGTTCCAGGTCAGTCTCAACTACATAGTGAGATCCTGTCTCAAAAAACAAAAAACAAAAAAACAAAACAAGAATACAAAAATGGGCCGGGAATTTAGCTCAGTGGTTCTTCTGCCTGCCTCCCAAGCAAAAGGTCCTGAATTCAATTCCCTGGTACCATAAAACAAAACAATACAAAAACAATAAATGCTGTGAGAAAGGAGCCCTTTTACACTGCTGGTGGAATGTAAATTAACACAGCTGCTATGGAAATCAGTATGGAGGTTCCTCAAAAAATCAAAAACAGAATTGCCATGTGACCTAGCTATACCATCCATGGTATATACCAGAAGGCATTAAAGTCAGCATACTACAGGGCTGGGCATTTAGCTCAGAGGTGCCACTCTTGCTCTGCAAGTGCAAGGTCCTTAGTTCAATCCCTAGTACTGCAAAAAAATAAAAATAAAGTCAGCATACTATAGCAGTACTTGAATACCCACAGTTATTGCAGCACAATTCAACACAGCCAACATGTAGAATCAGCCACAGATGAATGAATACAGGAAATGCAGTATATATCTACCAGAGTACCATCCAGCTGTAAAGAACATAATTATGTGATTTGCGAAAAGATGGATAGAATTAGAGATCACGTTGAATGAAATAACCCAGATTCAGAAAGACAAGTATCACATGATGAAAATATATTACATTCATGCATGAAAATACATTGAAACTCAAAATTAATATATTTTTTAAAAGAGTGCCTGTTAGCTTAATCATGAAAAAACATGAAGGAGCAGGTCTTTGGCCATGTTAGTTGAGATGTGGCCAAAAAGGTCAGTGCTCATGCAACTCTGTATCTCCACGGCTCTGCCAAAGACCAGCTTTTACAACCTGCAGGGATCATGGCCAGAGAAAACCTCCTGATGCTGGGCAGAAGAAATGAAACAGAGCTATTTGCAGGAACACAAAACTAACAATCCTTTATTAAAGTTCTGAAATAGCGACCTATGCCAAGTTTATCTAAAGGACATTAGCCTAAGAACACCTTCTGTATCAGGCGGTCTGGGGCTAATTGTAGGGTAAACTTGTTGGCTACTGGTTGATGAACACATTTGTCTGGTTAATTCTGAGAACAAATGAGTCTCTGAGGCGCTACCCAGCTGCAAGACCCAGGAGCAGGTGGTATCTCCAACTTCTCAGAGGGACAAATAAAATTCAGTCATGAAAGATATAGCATTTGTGATGCTTTTAGACAGCCAGGCCTGCATACTGGTCCTTTCAGTACAAACTTCTGCTTATAGATGAATGACATTCAGAACACTAGACAAACATACAGACCACAGGAGCAGGCATAGAAGCCCAGAAGACAGTTTCGCCAAGAAAAAAGATAAATCTGACCAGATAACCAAGAAGTCCAGGGAGACTTTATTCAGAGAGCAAAACAAAAGCAAAATAAACCTACTGTTTAAGGATCATAACCAAATATTAGTGCTCAATTCAGCAAGAACCTACCTCCTAGCCATTGCAGAATGGCAATGCAAAGAGAAACACAAGAGCTTTTACCTGTATACACAATTACCAAGGTGATGGTGTGGCCCCTGCTGAATCTCTGTGGACCCCCCATTTCTGACTACGCCTTCCAGCCAAAGACCACCAAAAGTGCACCTGTGGATGAATAAAGGAAATGGGACACAACTGCATGCTTGAGGTCTTATTAATAAGAGGACTGGGGCTTGTGTTAGATGATTTCCCAAGAAAGGTTAAGAAAGGAGGGATTCGCTGTAGTTTGGATGCTGTTCAAAAGTGGAGGTAATTCTTTTTGGTTATCTAAATAACTACAAGATAGAAGAAAAGAATCAGGGCTGACGCTCTATTTGCTGAAGCAGCAGCAGTCAGCCAGGTGGTGTGTTAGCAACAAGTCTGGGAGGGAGACCCAAAGCCAGTTCCCATCGGCCAGGAGCTGCCCTTTCTTTTTCCTTCGGCTACATTACAAATCCCGACTTGGCAGTCCCTTTGGCAGAACGAGCTCTCTTCCTAACCACAGCCCATTTCTCTGCAAATACTTTATAAGTGGCCCCCTTCACTCATTTATACTCTCCCCTGCACTGTGGGAATTTAAACAGAAAAGGAACCAGCTAAACAAGCCCAGAGAAAAGTGACTTGTATAGGATCTCCCGGTGAACTGGTAGCAAGGTTGAACTAGAACTCTCACTTTATGGTTTTCCTTCCAGCCCTTGCTAGATAGAAGTAAAGGCAGACTGTTAAATCCTCTGAAGTTATCAGCCTGTAAACTTGAGGCAGATTGGGTCAGATAGAAACACCTCTCACGGCTTTCTTGTCCACAAGGATTCCTGTTATTTCTTCTTTTAGGATGCGGTGCTAGGTCTTATGACATTAGCTGGGATTCTGAAGTGCCCCCTCTACGGGGAATCGAACTCACGACCTTGCGCTTGCCAGGCAGGCGCAGCGCACTGACCTACATCTCCAGCCCGACTCTTAAGGTCTTCGCTCAGCTGCTCCAGCCACTGCTGATCTTTCTGCTCAAGTCCAAGCGCGCTCCTTCCGGCCTGAGGGTTTCGGAACTCTTCCCCCCACCTCCAAGCGGCCGCTTCTCCCTTCTCCTCGGCTCCAGCTCTGACAGCCCTTCAATCCTTGGCGCCCTCGCATCCCTCCCTCTTCTCGAGGGTCCCCTTTCTGTCCCCTCCAAGAGCTTTCTTGATTTTACTCTCAGTTCTCAGCCTGTCTCGAACGTGGGGTGGGAGGCGGGAAATGCCCAGCGCCCTAACCTTCTCTATCCGCGTTTCTGGACCTCGCACCCACTGTCCTCGAGTTACAGGGAAACCAACCCTACGCCTGCCCTCGGCGCCTCCCCGGCGCGCATGCCCGGGGCAA